CACCAGTCAACAACAACATATTCTTGAAGAGCACCATGGTGTACCTACAGCCGGACACTTGGGTGTTGAGAGGACTCTGGAGATGTTGCAGCGTGTTTACTGGTGGAAAGGCATTCGTCAGTCAGTGAAGGAATACATCAAGACCTGTCCAAAGTGTCAAATGTTCAAGTCAGAGAACCAGGCACCAAAAGGACTTCGGCAGGCAATCCCAATTCCTACAGCTAAGTGGGAGCAGATTACCACTGACTTGGTAACTGATTTGCCTGAATCACATGGATTTTCAACTGTTGCAGTGTTCGTCGATCGACTCACCAAGTTTGTCATTTCTGTTCCTTGCCAGAAAGAGCTGAATACCGTGGGATACGCAAGGTTGTTCTTTGATAATATCTTCAGGATTTCAGGTATACCTCATGCGATTATCAGTGGCAGAGACCCTAGGTTTCTCAGTCGTTTCTGGCAAGAGCTATTTCGACTTCTTGGCACCAACTTGCGCATGTCCACCGCATACCATCCGGAGACAGATGGTCAGTCCGAGGTCTCCATACGCACACTGGAGAATTTTTTGAGGCCGTACGTTGAAGAGCGTCCAGAGAAGTGGAGCATCTACCTTCCTCTGACAGAATTTGCGGTGAGAAATGCTATCAACGTATCAACCAGCTACAGCCCATTTTATTTGATGTATGGGCAGTGTTCAGGCTCTAGTGGGACTCATGGCCGAGAAGTCCATTGACACGAGAGTGGAGTCAGTGGATGTGATGGTCAGTAGAATGCAAAAGGTATTATCCAGTGCTGTAAGACAATATGAGAGAGCACAGGAGAGGATGATTACAACTACCAACAAATGTCGTTGTGATGTTCAGTTTCAGACAAGAGATGAAGTTGTGGTGCGGACAGCATTCTTGCCCTCCACAGCCTTCAAGCACATCCTGACAAAGATCAGGCGGCGTTACCTTGGACCTTTTAAGGTGGTGAAGATTGTTTCCCCAGTTGCATACACCCTCGAGCTACCTTCCAGCTGGTGCATCCACCCGACCTTTCATGTGGAGAAGCTAAAGAAATTTGAGCGCAGTGAGGAGTTCAGACGCAACGTCAGTTCACCCCAGTATCACTAGAAGTAGAGGGCGAGCAGGAGTTTGAGGTGAAAGCCATTATTCGTCACAGGGGCAATACTTCCAGGAGACAGTATTTAGTGGCCTGGAAAGGCTATGAGCTACATGAGGCTACTTGGGAGGCAGAGGCCAACCTCAGTCACTGCAAGGACCTCGTTGCAGAATACCTCCTTAGGCTACAACGACATAAAGCAATCACAAAGACCAGACAGAGTCGACGAAAGAAGTGATGGACCGCGTGGACCTTGGAAAGCAGATTTCCTTCTGAGTTGGATCATGGTATGGGACATGGTTAGTCTGACTTATAGTGGGGCTTTGTTGGTACGCCGTACCTTCTTTCTTGCTGGTTTTCTGTGTTGCTAGTCTAGTGGCCGAGGACGACCACACTTGGTGGGGGGGGGAGAATTGATACGGTTGCTTAGGAGATGTAGTAAATAGGAACATTTAATTAATAGCAACCTAAGGGTTGAGTTGTGGAACACTCGGGTGCAAAGGACAATCAAACGGACAATTTATATGATGTAGTACATCATTGTACTACAATCAAAGCTTTTTAATGTCATGCCCCGGGGGTCCGGTTGCCTCCCCGTTCATCCAACCTGTGTGCCCGAGGGAGCTTTCAAGCTCCCGCATCAACGGCAGTACACGCCCCGGGCGGAGCATCCGCGGCTTCCGCCACGTCACACCGTGCGTGGCCTGCCGGTCATGTGTCCCGATGGGTCCCCACGGCTCTGTGCTGCGGACCTCTTCCACCAGCGCCTGACCCGCGCGCTCGTGGCCACTCGGACGCGCGCCGCCTTTGCCAAGCCGCACGCCCGCAGCAGAACGTCGCGGCCGCCTTGCCGCTCCTTGCCCGAGCGTCCTGCCTGAAATCCTTCTCGGTGCTCGGCGATTGGGGGGGAATGGAGGGGGAGGGGGGGGCGCGCGATGGCGATGGCGATGGCGGGCAATGCGTGCCCGCCGCCACCGCCAATCAGGCGAGAGGAAAGGGAGGGGGGGGGCGTCGCGGAAGCCCCAACGTTAGCCCGCTCCGAAACCAACTGTTGCGCACCCTATTGGGTGCGCCCCAGGACCTGCCCACGAGGGGCGCGCGGAGAGTGAGTGGGGAACTCGGAAAGAATCTTACAATTGGAAGCGTGAACCACAATTATAGTCAGGTGTTCTTTTAGCAAAATGGCAGCTAATCAAATCATAAACACACTATTCCCCTAGTGTATCTAGTAAACCCAAGTCTCACCCCAATATCGCAGTACAACATAATGAAGTGAAATCACCAGTACAATTGGATCCACCAGAATTCACAACACAACTAGTCTGTACCTTTTTTGAACCGCTTTCCTTGCCGCTCAAGACCAACAGTGCCATCACAGTCATGCTGCTGGCCAGAAGTGACCACCCTTCATTGCTGCACAGCCTTGTCAAGGCGGAGAGAAGTGCTTCCCGTTATATACACCAACATGCTGTGGACAAGGCAGCCCTGACCCATGGATCTGACCTCCGTTTTGACGTCGTCGACCGTTGAGTAGCAATTGCGACCGGTTGGGGCGCTCAGAGCGGCAATTGTGAGAGGTTCTACAAGTGTATTTGTATGGCTGGCTGGCAGTTGGATGTTTGCTACCTGCTTCAAGCTTGCCCTTGCCGTCGCCTCTGTTTTGTTGGTCGTGTCGGCATGCCAAGCAGTTCTTCATGAAGAGCCAGTTCGTGCGAGGAGCAAAGCTTGTTCGTTGAGTGCACCCTCAACTGATGTGGTGCTAAGGCTGTCATGATGATTCAACTGCCCGTTTAAGGGTGACTTTATTGCGCTATCTCTGAGGACGACCGCCTAAATGGACCGCCGTTCTTTGCAATTAAATATTAGATTAGTTTTAATCTTTACTTCTTAGCACTCAGTCCACACTTTTAGGGTAGCACACCCTAGTACCCTTCATGGCCTTCATAATTCCTTTATCCCCTTCATGATCCCTTCATCACCTTCAATTCCAGAAAGATGGTAAGCGGTCCAAGCACAGTTTTGCTCAGAATTTCCTAGTGGGAAATGGCCATTGCATCAATGGAATGTATTGTCACCTCGTCCCTGCAACATGGTGGCAATGCGCCAGACACTGCCTTGCAAACATTAATGCTTTGGATGCTGTGAACATTTCAGTGAAGGCACTATAGGCGAATGTCGGCGCGGTCCCCCCTTGGCCGCGTCCAGGTACCCTGGCCCGTGCTCTAGGGCCTCTCCGGTGGAAGCGTGGTTGTCCTCGGCCGGACGGCATGTCCCGGGCTCTTTCTGGCCCGTGGGTGATGGCCGCTCTGTGCGGTCCCGTCCGAGGCGCGCCGCGGCTGCGCTTGAGGAGGCAGGGAGGCTCCAGAACAATCAATCGCTACAATCGGCGCCGCCGCCTGGCGCTCTTATATGTGGCGGCCAAAATAATGAAAGTCATCATTTCATTAAACATCACCATTTTGACCAAACCCGTTTTCCGGCTAAAGGCCTCGCTATGCTTCGCTCCGCATACGGCCTCCACGACTTTGGCGACGGGCCGAGCTCCGCTCGGTAGAACAAGAAAACCAACGGGTTGCTAACCATATTACCACAGCGAATCATGGCAGCGTTAATGTGGGCACAGCGCAACTAGGCTATCTTCCGAATGCATCACAAAGTCATCCCCGTTGTTCTAGGTATGCCGAAGGTTGACATGTAGCAGCTCGTTCGCCTTTCCATGTAATAACGTAATGGTTGGTTCTTGCTCACATTTTGCCGTGTCCGAATGCTTGTAAGAAGGAATTGCACCTCTCCACAGAACACAAGCAAGGCTGGTACTTGCCACACGGCGCCCCTTGCACGTCCACAGACAACGGTGTGCACACCATCCCTGTTGCATATGGTCGACTATTTGGGAAGGGAGAATCGCCACTGTGGCCTTACCCACAAGGTGACACACATAACATTAGGCTCAATCGATTCAATCTAGCCCATTAACACATCCAGTGCGGCGTGGTTCAAGGGACATTTGTGGGGAATTAAGTGTGGTCCAAGCATATGCTTGCCAAGCATAAAGATTAAATTGTACGAAATGTGCAATGAATAGTTTATTAAACTTCACATGGTACATCATACAATGCTCAACAAACTAGTCGTTGCACATTTCGTACTATGCAATAAAACATACAAAGGCAACATCTCATTAACATTATACAGGTGCACCTCCACGCAGGTCCGGGAAGCATCCAGTTAGCGGTGCATTGTGCCGAAAATCATAAGCTCTTTTGTAGTTTGCATACCCCAACCCCCAATCCCAGGGCTTACAACGTTCACCCCATACTGTTGGGGAGCCACTTTAGCAGTTTTTCAGCAACGCTCACACTGTTGAACCACAAGGTCAACTTTGGAAGCCGCGGCACAGCCACGTATCCGCCGGCTTGCGGCTGAGCCGTACTTTATCCCCCGTATCTGGAATCAAACCCCAAGGGATGCTGGGCCCTCAAACTGCGCGGCTCCCGCCGTTCCCCACGCCAAACGGGGACGTCCGGGCCAGCGTCGATGGCGACCTCCGCAGGTGGGCGGTTGAAGCACTATCACCACTCGGCAACACCTCTAGCTTGCCCCACAATCGCATGAACCCCTTTACTGCGATGGTGCGCTCGGATTATTGGCAATAGGGCCCAAAGGCGGGCCCGTTGGGCACCCGCCCACGACGGGCAAAGGCTGCTGATTTGATAGCAAAGGGAACGAACATATCCACGGCGGCCACCCCCTCCTCCTGGGCCGGAAATTTTAAGCCCTGTGTCCATACTGCGCGAGGTGATGCGCCAATTCTGGGCGCGGCAGGGATTGATGAATATCGCGCAGCACCGAGCGGCGGTGTGAGGCAGTGTGTGCTCCAGGATTGGCGCCGATGACGGAGTCCGGTGGCGGGGGATGCGCCGAGCCCTGCGCCGGGTTCCTGGCCCTCCCGGTGGATGTGATCGCGGCTGTGCTTCGCAACCTGCACGGGCGCGACATCTGCCGCTGCGCGTGCGTGTGCAGCGCCTTCCGCGCCGCGGCGACGGACGAGGAGAGGGTGTGGAGGCCGATGTGCGAGGGGCGCTGGGGGGACAAGACGCGCCCGGAGGAGTGGCTGGTGGAGGGCGGCGAGGGCTGGCGGTCGGCGGCCAGCCCGGATGTCGAGGTGCCGCACAACTACAGGTGGGGTTCGGGGCCGCTTCGGGGGGTCATTTGTTTTGGTTTGTTCCGCATTTTTCACGTATTTTCGTATACAATTGTCGTGCATATTTTCGTATATTTTTTCGTCAGGGCGAAGGATGAATGTGTCGTGAGATGGGCATCCCCTTCCGACCCAAGGAATGATGGGGCGTTTTGTCCAGCTGCGAGGGTTGATGATTCAGCGGTTCCGATTGCCTTGGCCCTTGCATTGTGCTTGCCTTCGCTTGACAAACGACGACGGGCATAGACAGGTCCAAGGTCCAATTTTTTCCGTCATTTAGTCATTCTCCGCTCACCACCTGCAAGCAATGCGCACAAAAGGTGACCTTGAAACTGCTTCGATGCTGGAAGTGCCAATTGAAATCCCCCCTGGCTATCCTGAGAAGCTGGATTTTGCCCTACAGCCAGCTCCTAGGCCTGCGTATGGTCCCATTCCTACTTGTGGTTTCAGGTGTGCAGGTTGTCTTTGCTTGTATTGAGCACAGCCCTTTGATCCTTGCGCAACTGGGCGATGCAAGCTCGATTTTGAGGCGTTGTTGGATGGCAAGAGGGGTTGTGGGAGGGCCACTGTGCAGGACACATGGATGCTCCCATGGTGGTTACAATAACCAAAGTAGTTGTTGGGCAAGCCATGCCTTCAGAAAAACAGGATGCTCCCATGGTGGTTACGATAACCAATGTAGTTGTTGGGCAAGCCATGCCTTCAGAAAAACAGGCTGCAAGCCCCATTCTTTAAGGGCTGGGACGACTCGAATAAAGTATCCTCACAAGCATAGTGGAAATGATGCACAGCAATCGTGGTCGACACTGGATACCTGCAGTGGGGCTGGGAAGGAGCCTGGGGATTTGGACCAGGGCATAGCACCTGCTGTCAAGGGCACAATGTCGATCAAACAGGCAACAAGTGTCCCTGACAGTGAGAGTTCGATCGCCCAAGTCATCCCCCTGATATCTTCACTGACGTGAATTTTGTCCTTGCGCTCTGAGGCATTTCACATGCTTTGCAGTGTCAGTGAGCCATCGTTCTTGTGAATTGGATTATTAGTGGTCGCAAGGGATTCATGTGCACTTGGGGGGGCAGGTCTTATGTGTGTGGAAGCAGGCATGTCAGGCCCTGCAAGGGGCAAGGGCCATGTATTGTCGTTTTTGGACAGGAACAAGTTAATCCAAGAAGTTGGAGGTCTGACTTTTTTGTTCTTGCAGGTTACTCCAAAGGCACGTCTCATTGTGAGCAACTGCTGTTGTGTGCTGCGTGCTGTTCAGACATACCATTCTTAGACTTGTTAATCATCTTTCATGGCATGGAATGCTGTCATACAACAAGTCTCTCCTGGAGGTGATGGGCCATCGTATGACATGTTCCCCTTCTGGTGCAAAGAGTGTTCGGTCCAGAATTGTCTAAACTATCATGGTTCTAAGTAAATTCGTTGCCGTTCATTCTGCGGACTGCAATTTGTCAAGATGACAGGACGACATAATGCCCTTCCACCTTGCAGGCCCCAAACCCCAACCCACTGTTGGTTCAATGCCTCATTGCCGCTGAACACTTCCATGGACACTGTTATTTTGCATTCAAAGCGAGAGATTATCCGTGTAATTGTTGTTTTTGCAGGCTTGTGTACCGGCTGCTGAACCAGTATGACCAACTGCTGGGTGTGTGGCAAGGGCATGATATGGAGCACCACCCCAGGGGTGCCCTCTTTGTCACGCAGTGGCGCTCTGACAGCATCGACTGTGTGAGACTTGTGGCAGATGAAACTAACGTAAAACGGAGGGACTACCTGAAGCTGGGACCCTGGGGCCAGGTTACTGGTAAGAATTGCTATTTGTACTATTTGTGGTCAAAGAGGTGGTGGTCATCCATTGGGGCTGCTGCAGTGAAGACAGGCAATGCCTGCATTTGGCATATACACATATTAAACATTTTGGCACAAGAATTGCACACAATTTGGCACATTCAACAAACGAAATGGTAACTGTCGAATATGACAAGCCAGCTGCTCTCAGATCCTTGCTGGCGATGTTGGAGACTGCTCGTCTCCTTCAAGCACTGCTTCCCAAAGCGCTTTGGTCACTGTTGCCATTAAACAGCCCTGAGATGACTTGTGTGCCAGAAAACGAAGAAGGCAAGTTCTCAGATCCTGGGGAGCAACAAGACTGCAGAGGTTTGCATCCTGTCTTGGCCCATGGTGGCGAAAGAGCGTCAGTTGAATGGTCCAGCAGCTCTTCCAAGAGAGACGTCCCACAGTGTTGGCCTGGCATGGTTGTGTCAAATGGGAAAGATAGCACTTGATAACGCGTTTTCTTTTCTGTCAATGCAACCGTCATGGTGCCGGCCTCGCTTGCCTCTGCTATGGCCTTGAGTGCCATCAAATTCAGCAAGGCACAGTTGCAATCGGTTTACGTGACCCTGGGGACATGCATGTCTTGTAGTATTTTTGAGTACAGAAGAACAGGATCCTGGGAAACAGATTTTTTTCAGAATACCATATATTATTGGACAGCTCCTTGCTGGGCAGGATTGCCGAGTTGACATGTTTTTAGTACTGTGATAGATGATGCATAAGTCTCCCAGTGTGACAGGAACAGCATGCAATAGCGAGCAGCAGAAACAGACCATCATTGAGAATTGCAACAGAGCATCAAAGACGAAGAAGATACATTGAATATGCCATGTGTCCCTTGCCCAAGCACTTACCTAGTGGTAAACAATGGATTTAATTGGTTGGATATTGCCAGATAGCCATCTTACAGCCTTTGGGCTACAACCGCAGGTATGCGCAAAATGCCTGGCGTGAGCTTCAAGGGCGAACGCAGAGGTTTGTTCACTGTGACAATTTGTCGCAGTTGTGTGGCAGACAACCCTCTCAATAGGGGCAGACTATGTTGGCATCGTCAGGGAACAATTGTCCACCATTTGTAGACAGATTTTATTTGTACAAGCATTGCATGGCACTGTAGTGTTGTTCTGTCGAACCCTGATCTAGTGCTATTTATGGCAAATCTATGTAGGCTTGTTGGAGGCCATGTGCTTCAATGGATTCGGCCCCATTGGTGCTGTTCCAGCCAGTGTGGCTGGCTTTAAACAACCTGAGCAGGTTGTGTCTGTGTAACCCAACAAATTAAGTCGGCAGAAATAGAGAGATGTCCCCTTACCAATTTGTGAGCAATTCCCATGGTAGACAGGAAGCACACAGGCAATTCCATGGAAAACAAAACCCAGTTCACTTGCATTGGTTGTTAATCAGCGCAAAGTGAGCTTCAACGTCGAAAGTGTTAACTTCAAGTAATGTGGTGGCAGATCTCTATTACATCCGGAGCATCCAAATCCATCCCCTGACTGGGCCCGCTGTTGTCCTGGGCCACACCAATAGTGGAAAGACAAGAGGCGCCCCAGTGTTGGTGCACCAAGAACACAGCTCAACAACTCAGTGCACCAGCCAGGGCGTGCTGGTCTCCCACGACCTCTGAAAGTTCAAGGCCATGATTCGTCCTGACACTCTGACGACTACACAAACCCTCGTTGTCGTTGAGTGCAAAGTATTGCACATTAGATGTGATGCAATATGTAGAATCCGAGACGATAAGGACGGCAACAATATGTGTGCGCTTTTGGCCCCCAGGGCAGGTGCTTGACGGCGATCACCTGGTCTTGAAAGAATACACCCACATGAGCGGGAGCCCAAGCATGGGGCCCGCAGCTGCAGCTGCATCCGTAGCAGCAGGCACAGATTCTGGCGGTCACAGCCCCCCAAGGCGCTTCCAGAACGAACTGCTGAAATTCATGCAGGTGTGCTGTTTGTGTGACAACCATTGTTGCCAATGCCTTGGCTGCATTGGTGGGTGCCAAGGTCGTCTGCTGGTATATTGCAGATTGCCATATCTTATATTGTATGTTGCTTGCTGCACATTATTGTGTTTTTTTGCTGCTCTTCTTTGGGGCTGGAAGTGGACAATCTATGCGCTTTAGAGGAGTTTGCTCATACCTGTCCTCTAGATTTATGACATATCAATGAAACGGGGGAGAACGTTGTCAGCTGGTACATAGGAGCAAAGGGCGATAAATATTGGCCATGAAAAGTGGGTTACTAATAGAGATGCAGGGTTATTGGAATAGAGGGTAGTTCTGCCCTGTCTGTTGTCCCCAACTTCAGTTAGGAAGCCAAAGGGATGCAAAATGTCATTTCGCAGATGTGATGTACTGATATGAAATGCTAGGCCACATTGATAGCTGGGGTACTTTGGAAAGCATTGAAACTCAAGCTCTTCTGTAGGTTAACATCATCTGGCGATGTTTCCTTGTCCAGGGGTTTCTTGTGGCAGCCCTGACATCACCTCTCGATTTCCCTGCAAGTAGTTTCAATCAATCCACCACAAGCAAATGACAGGCATGATGTGTAATTGTCTCTCAGCCGGTATATCAGCAAGACAGGCGCACAATTTCACATTCACACACAACAGCTCCCTTGTCAAAAGGGTATATTTTGTTGCTTCAGTCAGTGTGAAGCATGTATTGTCCTTGGCGTTTTGTGTCATGGAACTGACCCATCTGCGGCATTTCATATGCAGTCGTCTGTCCGCTCCAGCAGGCGAAGCGGCAGCCGAAGGCCACAGCGCACCGCACAGGGGAGCGACTTTGGCTGTGTTCCAAAGTTTCACCACATGGTGAGGCTTCTGGTTCCAAGCCCCACAAGGCACACATCCCTGGCAGGGATCTGGAAGGGAAGCTACGGGCCACATGGCGTTGAGGTCATCAAGATCGAGTATGACTTTTCGGGATCGTCTGCACAGATCGTGGCAACAAAGCTCATAGGCGACCCCAATGTGCCTGCTGGTAAGGGTGGAATTGCTGTTGGATTGCAGCGGAGTCAACGTACCTCACAAATATACCCTTATCTGCATTGCTCAAGAACGGCAACAGCGGGATGTTTGGTATGTGCGCACAGGGGTAGTGGCAAACCTGGGTGAAAGCAAGGACTTCTTAATTGCGACGCCAGGCATTTTCGCCAGGCATTACAAGACGTCACAAAAGGCGGAGCGCTTGCTCTTCCAAGTCGTTGGTTTGACCCCATCACGTGAATACTTGTGCTGACTGCCCAGTCACACAAATTGCACAAACAGTTTTAAATGCTACCCGTTCATCAGCTTACATTAAGCCAGGCAGAAACTGGCTTCGCCCCTTTCCACCAACCAGATGGGATGCAGCAGCAGTGAACCAGCTCCTAAGTCGCAAGGGGCGTCCCAAGATGCATAATTGGGTCTTTTAATTGGAAACAGAGTGTCGACCTTTCAATAGTGCATCTACAACACATGTAAATACATAAAGGTAGCCGCCAGCTCTCTGTTTGGTATGAGGAAAGCACTACCAATGAATTGTTTGTGGACAAAACATCGTTTTCAGAGATGCTCCAATCAATGAGTGTTGCTTACCCAGATGGTCACTATCCCAGTAGTTTGCCCCCTCATCGCCTTCCCAAGAAAGAAAGAAAGAAAGAAAGAAAGGAAAATATTAAAAACCACGTCAGTAATTGGCACAGGTGAATTCATAGCTACACACAGGTTTGTCGTCCAAATCATTCATTCATTGTATAAAATCCAGGAGCTTCGAGAGTGTTCTCACTCAATGGCTGAGCTTTACTTTTACTGTGCAAATGGTGCACATCACGGTGAATTTCGCCTTTATCTGATAGAAGAATTCTGATGAAAGAGACCGCTACGATGACATTGAAGGCCACCATCATTCGAGCTTCAACCACCCAAAGAGCATGGGGCATGAAAACAAGGCTGCCACTATCCGATTGCGTTTTGTGGGCTAGCTTTGGCACCCATGGCTTCCGTTACTTGGACGATATGCACACGTACTGATGTCCAACATTGCCGCGCAGCCTCAGGGCCTTTATGTCCTCTCAACCTTTCGACAATGCAGAAAATTCGCCCAGACTGAGTGTCACTAACGTTGGGTTCTATTGCCATGCTGAATACCATCAGGGCACCATTGCTACGCTCTGCGCAAATACCACTGGGTGCTATTCTGGGGTTTTATTCGGACCTGGAGCGGTGCCATTTGGAGCCCAAATAGCCCAAATAGCACTGCTCAGTGCCGAATAGCGGTGGGGTGCAATTGGGGTGCTATTGCTTCCAGTTCTGCAGCCATCAATGGTGGCTTTTGACACGTGGTCCTCTTCGGATAGCCAAATAGCACCGCCGGGACAACAGTACCCACCAATACAGATGCTCCAACCAGCCCTGCGATCATGCCCATGCAGGTGAAAAGACGTGGCGAGTGCACGCCAAGCCCATGGGCGGCCCGCCCTGGCCCCTGATGGACGCCCCGGGACTGGGCGTGGCCTTCCTCCTCTCTGTGGGCCCCGACCCCATCGAGGTGCACGAGCTGAGGGAGCTGACCGTGGTGAACTGCCATGGGGGCCACGGCCGCGTGGCCCAGGCGGGCTTCCGCAACCCGGAGTGGATCGAGGGCCAGCTGTGGGAGTACAGCAACGGCAACATCGGGTTCATTTGGGAGGGCGGCCACAACTTCCTCATCAATTTCGTCAGGGCTGAAGATGACATTCTGCTGGAGTCTTAGCAGGGGAGAGGGGGGAGGGGGATTTGTTAACAATTTGTTTAACATTCTCTTTGAATGAGAAAGAAACAGGTCATGCCACCCCCTCCTAAGCAGGCTTCTGTGCGAGGCTTTCCCATGCTGGGAGAGGACGGGGGAGGATGTCGTTATGAAGTTGGCGAAGGTCTGTTTCAGCTGTTCCACTGTGTTGGGGCGCTATGGGTGGGAGCTCCTGGACACACAAGGGCAAACAGCGTTTCTATTGTTCGGAACAATTTGTTCCACTGTGTTAGGGCGCAATGGCGGGGAGGTCCGGACACGAAATGGCCAAACAGCGAGGTGGCTCAGCCCGAATAGAGTAGCATGGAGGGGGGATGGCTGGCTGGGTTGCAATTCATGAACTTGGGGGCATGAAAGGCTGGTTGAGGTTCATGATTTCGGGCGCGCGACTGGTTGGCTGAAATTTGTCAGGTCGATGCCCTGTTTAAATGGTTGAAATTTTGCACTTGTTGCGTCTGTGGAAAACTGGACAGGCATGATGCTCATGACAACCCCGTTGGTGTTGGTGTGCCAGCACGAGGTGGTTGGCAGAAGATCGGCATTGGGGCTTGTGGTGGAAGCAGTTGGTTGGTGCGTTGCCGCGTGACATGTGCATGTGTCCGTTCTACAGTCCCAGTGGCTGGCATAGCCGGTCTGCACCACGGCGATTCAGGCTAGCCGTCACCAATAGCCAAAATTGTGGCCATTCTGACACACCAGTGATCCACGGATGATGCACGCTTTCGTCCTGCTTTGGGTGTGGCATGTGGCTGCCCACACTTTGTGTATCAGTCCCCCACATACGCAGGCATGCCGAGGACGGGATGGACAGTGCTGGCTGCAGAGTCTGGACTGAAATGGCGACGGCCCTCATTGAAGGTAGCTGACAGTTCGCCAGGCCGAAAGCTCTTTAAATGTACTGTGAACGCAAGCAAAGGGAGTTCGTGAAGACTAGGGACTCATTGAACTTATGTGTGGAACGCAGGCACGGGGTGGAACGCCCCATCCGCCAAGGACAAGCAAGTTCGAGTTTGCGGTGCCGACCTATCCTGCAGCTTAAAGTAGCTAGAGATATGTGCTGACAGGCACGAGGAAAGAGGCGCCGGTGCAAGTGGTGGTGTCACAGGAACGGTGGCGTATTTTAAAATGAGGTTGTTGAAATTGCAGAACAATTATCACCCCTGAAGAAGCTGCTTCTTCAAATCATGTACGGCAGACATCCTTCACAAAGGTTTGGAAGGCTGTCCCAGTCGGAGCGGAGGGCACAACTTCGGCCTTGTTCCTACTCCAGAACATTCCATCGCAGCTAACAGTCAAAGTGCTGTTTAAGCAGCAGGATTCTGCAACATGATGCGCAAGTTCATGGGCACACCAGCCTGGGTTTTGGATCCAAAGTGCATTAATCCAAACGACTTGTGTGCCGGTTTTCAGCAATTACCTCGAAGAGCAAGAGTGCACCACAAGGCTGCCTGAACAACGCCGTGGTCCGCCCGTCATCGACCCCGCAATTCCAAGGGGCTTCGTCTGCCACACGTTTTGACAAATGTAAGTAAACTTTAGTGACAAGTGTGGAAGCAACGGAATTCACAAAAGGCCCTTGCCAATGGGATACCACAGCATGTTGTACGCTTCTGCATTGGAACTTGGCGGTCGGCACTTCTATGCAGAGCAGTTAGCAAACGCGTATAGGTGCCAAGAAAATGTGGAGCAGCCCCAGCCGCGACGCCAGGGTCTCTGGAATGCTCGTGGCATTCAGCTGCCCCTGCTGCTCGAGTCGCCGTGGCAGAAAAAAAACCCGGCATTTGAGGCCATTTGAACTCAGCAAGTCGCCATGCTGGCTGTGGCCATGGTGCGGAGGCTCCCCAAATAACCGTCTGTCAAAAAAATGGGAGCAAGAATCGAAACGCTGAAATTGCAAAATGCCGAAGGGCACGCTGTGCTACGGTATACGGACCGTACGTGGCTCCGGTACGGCACCACACAGGGGGTCCATGCCCCCATATTCGCGAACAACAAGCCCACCAATACTGTGCTCTTCGGGTCAGCAACTGCCCGTGGCCTCTTTCAGGCTGCAGCCCGCCCTGGGCTCCGCTCCGCCTTTGAATGGTTCACCGGTCGTGCGCTTCAGGCAGATGCCTGTTTTCAAAATTTGGGGGCAAGTTGGTTGGTCCCGCATCGCTTGTGCGCGGGCATGACAGGCACCCGACGAGGCGAGGCATCAAGGTGGGCCAAGGGTCGAATCGGGAGATGCGATTCATCGAACTTTGCTGTGCGCTGCCGCGTTTGGAAGATCCTGCCCTGATCCTGCAGAGATGGTCGTTGAAGTGGTGTGGTGTTATTGGAATCCGGGCCTTTTGCGCTGGGCCATTTTTGCAGGACTGCGCAGTGACGCGGCGGCATCTTCGCCGCGGCTGCAGTCTCTTTGGGATCTGGGGTTGAGGGCGCACTGGATGCTGAAGAGGTTGCGATTTAAGCGACAAGATTGTGGCACAGAGTAATGCCCATATGCAGCACCTTCTGCAGTGTGGAAATTTCATCCCAGTCTGCTCGCCCGGAGGGGCGGGGGGAGGAGGAAAGAGGGATAGCCAGAGCATGACTTGCTTGGTTTCTGCTGGAAGGCAATCTTTAGCATGTGGCTCAACACTCTGACCCATTGAATGCATTCACCACTTGTTGTGCTTTCTGCAATATGACAAAGAATTGCCCTTGCACCAAACAGGCCATGATGTGCATTGTTCCATCCACAATCAATCCTATCCCCATAGCCCAGAACGTGACAATCATTTTTCTTTTGTCTCTGCATTGAAAAGCAAAAGTCAATCTGCAGCTTTTCACTGAGGATGTGTCCTCACCCAATGCTTTTTCCATGTGCGGCGATGAGCTTCCTGGAAGCTGGTGAACAGTCCACACAAAAAGGAGAGAAATTGATCCTTGCTCTTGTCCCTGCAGGTATATGGGGCCAGCTTGTTTACCTAGTGTAATCTTTGTCTCATTGTGGACCACAGGTAATCAGCAAGTAACGTGGGATGTTGAATTTAGTCAGATTTTGATGTCCCTCTCAACTGGAAAAGCTGGTGTTGGGGTCTCCAAGCGCATCAGTACTGCATGTTTTTTCTGGGTCATGTGATTATGCTGAATAGCAGTATGTATAGCACACAAAGCGACTGAAAGACATTTTGCTTCTTACCACAAATCACCCACTCATGCAACCCTGACTGCTCGCATTGTGCACATCGTGCCCAAAATCTTTTAGCTGCAGGTATTGGCTGAACTGCAAGGAGTTTCTGCCCTTTGCGCCAGTGAGCAGCTTGCATTAGCGAGAGCCAAGGAGAGTGCTCACGACCAGCCGCTGTTCCTAGATCCCTGGGCAGCAGACCTGGCAGGAGGTTCGGCTCAGAGGTGCTGCACGACAGTAATGATTCACAGCACACTGGTGAAGTTTGCAGCCTTTAACGAGTGCAACAGTTAGTTTTGAGCTGCCTCAGGTGGTTGTTTCAGATTTGCCATGCTTGCAGCAATTCTTTGAGAGCTTGCAGCAGTTTGCTGGGGTAGCTTTGGGCTTTGGAGGTGGGAGAATGATGGCATCCTAGAAGCACTTCCCTAAATCTTTGGAACTTATCTTGGAGTGAATCTTTAACTCGATTCATTAGAATGTACGAAATCACTGACCTTGGACTTGCCTGGTGATGATGAGCAGAAGACTACACATTGAATGTCCTTGATCTTCATGAATACTATGTGCAACTAATGTACAACTGAATACAAAAGCATGCCAAAGAATTACACATTTGCAATTCAGTAGTTTCTTTGTCTCTGCTCCAAACCTACGCCATTTGGCAACACCTGACCTTTTCATAGCAAACTGCAGAAGGCCAAAAGGGGGCCTGCCTATCAAGCTCAACCTGGGCGCTGTGCCTATTGCACGACATTTCACTCATAGGATGCGATGTACTGTCAACTTTGAGCTCTAGACTATTGCCGTATACAGCAATAGTAAGTAATGAATAGGCCAGTACACTGACAACATGCGTTTGGAATTTCGAAATAGTGAAGCCAGCACAAGCGACCAGGCTGTGGATGATCGACTAGTGCAGCTTGACGTCATCGCCACGAAATACATAGACGAGTGCCTGCTGCAAGGCGTGTCCCTCACTCATGAGCAGCTTGGCGACTACAGGCAGGTGGGCTGCATGCAGCACATTCCCTGGCAATCGACAATCAGCCAAAGGTCGATTTGGTCAGTATATCTGCCTGTCAGTTAGTCGATTACCTTTGATTGTTCTCATGAATAATCAAGAAATGATCATTTGAAGACCCGTCTCGTTGCTCCAATGGCAAAGCACGTCACGTGCTACCACAGAGGCACTTTATGTACCTGAATGCGGCAGCTCCGCTTTGCTCAACGGTTTATAGCAGATGGTTGTGCTGAGAGGGACATTGAAGGCGAAGGCACATGTTATGAATCGCCCCCAAATGAAAGATTGCGCAAAAGGAGATCTCCTTTCTGTTAAAATCTATTGTAACAGAGAAACGAAATGCTGAAATTGCATAAACTGTTAGGTACAGACAGTGCGAATTTTGTTGATATAGGTCGTGCTGCTGGGCTGCGGCTTGGACACAAGGGCCCATCGGCTGCCATGGCCATCCGGCACCATCATCTTCGAGATCGCCCCTTCGGAGGTGCACAGAAAGGCAGAGGCCGTCCTGAAGGTGTCGGGGGCGTCTGTACCTCGTGGCTGTCTCCTCAGGAGAGTGAACGCCAATGTGAAGGTGATCTGCATCGATATTCACTACATTCAATATGCCGGGATGTGTCAAATGCCATTCACTGCGTTCAGCGTGGATCGGCATGAGGCCCCTGTCCCCTGTTTTGATCGTCCATGTGGAGAACGGGAGAGTGCGGTGCTTGGGTATGTCAAAAGCTTTCTGTGTATCTTCTGGGTAAATCAACTGTGTAGTTGAATTACCACGGATGTGCACAATTG